TTACACATACCACAGTTATGTTTCAAATTATCTGCATGTTGAATACCCAAAGTGTGAAATTGTTTTGTGGATTCATATTTGTGGTGCCATTCAATAGATGGCGCAGGAGTTTTGGTCACATACATAGATAGTGACATACAATCTACGTCCATTATAGTAAGAAGAAAAATTGATATAATAATTGTTATACTTTTGGTTTTCATCCATGGTCAAGTTCCTGCGAAAAAAATAGTGTTATTTTTTACGTCTAATATTTTTAGTTAACACGTGAATAAATAAGGCTTAATCATTAAATGTGTTTTATGATATATTTTGTAATTAATGGATTTGTCTCCTTCAACAGAACGATTATTACAGGAAAATTGGATTTCAGAACATGGAAGAAGCAAGGTTTGTCTCACTTCTTTATTCTTCTTTATTTGAAAATACTTAAATCGTTAATTCTGAGTACTTTTGTGAAATTTTGAAAGAGTTTCAGATTAAATCAGTCGTGTTTCTAGTTAAACTTTTGTCAGCTTCATTTCGAATCTTTGTGCTTCCTGACACTCAAATCGATCAGATTTTAATGTCTGAAATTTATCTTGTATGGAAAAAAAAAACTTTAAAATTTCAGGTATTTTAATTCTAAGTAATACTTTTCAAAATCTAAATTAATTAATATTAACTTCCAGTTAGATCAAACTGTCAACTTAGAGTGAAACTAAAAATCAACTTGATAACGAGTAGGGTTAATTAAACATACCCTTTCTTACGTTTTTGTTTATAAATATTATAATTCATTGTTTTATCAGTTGGATATCGTCGTTGTTAACGATATTTCTAGCCATAATATCATTCGTACTGCAATAGTATTGATCACGCTTATTATTATGATGGCCTTAAAATAGTCCTCCTGTGGGACAGCGGTAATTATACGGGCCTACAACCCCAAAATTCAGGGTTCGATTCCCTGCGATGGACACATCAGATAGTCCAATACGGCTTTGCTATAAAAACAAATTATTAGAATTTTTTTACTAGTTTTTTTTCGGGACGGTAAATTCCTAATTGTCGTTTTTTTTGTTTTTTTTTTGTCAGGGTCTTCGTACTTTCTAACTTTGAAATATTCAACATCCCGAAAAGTAACTGAATTATTTTCCCAAATATTTACATGTTCAACGCAAAAGAATATATATATAATACTGCTACGTAATATATATCATACATAAATAGAAATACGTGTTTGTGTTCAGTTATTGGATATAGCTTTAATGATTACAACAACGACAATCCTAATGATCGATTCATAATATTTTATTAATTTTGCAGAGGAAATATGACTAGGTTAAAAGTTTACTACCAAACACTGGATCACCTGATTTACAAGAACAATCCTAAATACGAGGTAAGCAAACAGAAGTACGAATTTCTGAAAAAAAAAAAAAAGAAGAAAATTTCATTGTAGCTTAGAATATTCGTTTATCATGTAAATGTTTGTTTTTCTAATTTCGCGCAAAGCTACACGAGGGCTATCTGCGCTAGCCGTCCCTAATTTAGCAGAGTAAGACTAGAGTAAGACCACCCACCGGCAACTCTTGGGCTACTCTTTTACCAACGAATAGAGGGATTGACCGTCACATTATAACGCG